GGCAGGGCAGACATTAAGTCTTGTGGCTCTGCATCTAGCATCTCCAGAGCACCTGGTGGTTGAATGTAAGATCCACAGGGTCCTGGCCATCCCATCCCTATGTCCTGGCTGGTTGAAGCCCACAGAGACTCTCTTGGGGTGGCTGCACTCATGGCCTGCAGCTTTCTTTAGCACATGTTCCACATTACTGGCATCTCCAACTTCCTGGGACTTCCCTATACCTTTGGCTTCATTTTCAGAGTGCCATAGACTGCACCCTCAAGGACTCCTTGGCTGAACTCCTAAGCCTTCCTTTGATCTCTATGTGGAAAGCTTTATGACTCTGCATCTCTTACATTCTCCATGCTAGTAAATCCACCATCACTGGACAATGCCAAGGTCAGCTGCCAGGCACCCTTGATCCATGGTTGTAGCAGCTTCTGAGGGGCTGAATGACTGAAAGAAGAGAAGTGAATCCTAAGAAATTGTCTCAGTTACTCTCCTTTCCTTGCTGGAACAAAATATCCAACATCCAAAATGAAGGAAGAAAGGTTGATTTAGCTCACAGTTAGTGGAGGTTTCAGTCCATACTTAGCTGGCTCCAAGGCAGAGAGGCACATGACACAGAGTAGCCGTTCATGGCAAAGAGCAAAGGGAGGGGCAGCAGCTGCAGCTGCTAGCTAACTTCTTTCCCCTTCTTACATTGTAATGCAGATTACCTGCCCCAGGGCAGGTGCAGCACCCACACCCACAATGATCAGTCACAAACTCCAGAAGCCACCCCATGATTGCATGAGGCTTTGAGGGGACGATGAGGCACAAACCATAGTAGAAACCAATTGCCTAGGAGGCCCTTTGCCAGTAGGCATCCCAGAGACTTTGTTTTCAAATGAAAGTTTTCTATTTCTGCTCAACAGGTGGGGTCTTGCTGATTCCTCAGGTGGCATCACATGCACCTGTATAAAGAACTTGCTTTCTCTTTGGCAGTGTTAATCTTTTTAGCAGTCCTACCTCTATCAGCCCCAAATTTATACATCATTCCTCTGAGCCCAAATTTAAGTTTTTCGAACTTTTCTGCTCTATCTTTTGCCCTCCCCCCTTCTTAAGGTTCTTAAGGTAAATCTGGGTGAATAAAGGCAGCATTACCTGTACCACAGCCTGAACGTTGGGCTGTCTTGAAATTTCCTCCACCAGGTTAATTAGTCTGAAAGTCCTAAACTCAGTTTCCTCAAAGTTTAAGGACACAGGAGAAATGTAGATAAGTTTTCTCCCAGAGTGTACTATACATGATACCTAGTCCAGCTGAAGTCTTCTGAGCCTGGTTTTTCCTATCAGCATTCTGACCTTCTGAGCTCTAATAAGAATTATCTATCAAGCCCTGTTTATAGCTTCCTGGGGTTTTCCTAGCCCACAAAGCTTTCCAAACTCCCACCACAAACCAGTTTCAATAGTATCCAAACAACGTGACCAGGTATAGTCACAGCAATGACTCCATTTTTCTGGTACCAGTTTTCCATTGCTGGGACACAATATCTAACACCCACAACCTAAAGAAAGAAAGATTTAGTTTGGCTCATGATCTGAGGGGATTCAACCCATGATCAGCTAGCTCAAGGCAGAAACATCTAGCAGGAAGGTACAGCAAAGCAAAGATACTGAGTTCATGGCTTCTGGGAAGAAAGGCAAGGGAATGTATGGTGCCAGAAAAGAATGGGTTCAAGACCACATACAGTACCCAAGGCCATGGTTCTGCGATTCAACTAAGCACACCCAGGAGCATGCTTTATTAATTTTCTAGGCATTTCTTAGTGCAATGAAGTAGATCTATCAGGATTAAAGTCCAATATACAGACCAGTAGAATAGAATAGAGACCAGAAATAAACTTAAATATATACTATCAATTGGTTTTTAATAAAGGCACCAAGAGGACACAATAGGAGAAAGCACAGCATCTTCAACAAGTTGTGCTTAGAAAGCTAGATATCCAGATGCAAAAGAATGAAAATGGACCCTTAACTGACAACATACACAAAGCCAACTCTAAATGTTTAGAACACTCAAACATAAGACTTGATACTACAAAACTCCTGAAGAGAATATAAGGCAAAAGCCCCAGACACTGACCTATGTAATAATGTTTCTTTTTTTTATTTTACATAAAAAACTCAAGCTACAAAGTGAAAATAAATATATAGGAGTACATCAAAATAAAGATTCCCTACAGCATATGAAAGGAAATGCAAAATGAAAAAGTCAAACGGTAAAATAGTCAGCAAGAGAGTAGAGAAAGGGAAATCTTGTACTATTACTAAGAATACTCTTATGAAGAGCAGTATGGTTATTTCTAAAGAAATTAAAAACAAGACTATTATACAACACAGTGATCCCTTTCTTGGGCATATCCACAAATGCACAAAATTGTCACCTTAGAGTATGGGAATGAACATATACACAGCCACTGAAGCATCATCCACAGTAACCAAGAGAACAATACAATCTAAATGCTGAAAGGGGTAAATGGAGAAAAAAAAGTATAACATTGATGTATATTGCATATGTATATATTTATCTTTTGATTTTTTGACAATCATTTCCTCAATAGGCATGAGATGATATTTTGTGGTGGTTTTTGACTTACATTTTCTTGGTAATTAATGATGTTGAGCACCTTTTCATATACCTGTTGGCCATTTTTATGTCTTCTTTGTCCATTCATACCTTTAAAAAGCATGAGATCTTGCCATTTGTTACATATACAAAATCCAGGAGGACATTATGCCAAATAAAATAAATTAGACATAAAAAATATATTCTCACCTATGTGCGGAAGTTAAAAGAAATATTCAGGAATACAAGATAAGGAACAAACTATAACCAGCTGAATTTAGGAAGATGGGGGGATGTAGGATCAAGAATACAAAATGGGGCCAGGGAGATGGCTCAGTAGAATAAGCGCTT